GGCTACGCCAGCACCGATGAGGAGGTGTCGGAGTTCTCCGAGGGCAGGTGAGTTCCACGTCGGGAGTGAGAGGCAGCTCAGCACGGACCCAGGGTTGGGGGAGCCACGGGGTCCGGGGCCCAGCCCGGAGGGGGGTCCCCGGGGGCCCATGAAGGCGTCTGGGTCCCCGAGCGCCAGGGCGCACACAGGCTCTGGGGGTCCTGACTCCCCCTGCTCCTCCCTCAGCTTCTCCCAGTCGTTCACCATGAAAGGTTCCAGCAGCCACGACGACTTCAAGTTCAAGGTGAGCCCCCTCGGGAGGCCGGCGAGGCCCCTCCGCCCTCACCCCAAGCCCGACCCCGTGTTGCTTCCAGTGGGGACGGGTCTAGCCTGGGACTGGAGGGGGCGGGCACCCGGGGTGCAGGTGTGTAAGCTGGGGCAGCCTGCTCTTTCTGAAGTGGGGGGTGGAGAGAAATGGGAGGAGGGGCCTGAGCCACTGCCTGGTGCCGTCACCAGAACCAAGGGCCGCGCTTCCCGCTTTCAAAGCCTCCCTCTTACCCGACCCAGACCCAAGTCAGCAACTCACCAGATCCCTGGTTGTCGTACACGCAGCTCGTCGGCCACCGGCAGGGGCAGCAGTGAGGGCATTTGCGGACCAGGGAGGGGCCACCACGGGTAGGCTTGAACCAAGAAAAGGGATTTTTTTTATTGATTGATTTTTAGAGAGAAAGGAAGGGAGAGGGAGAGAGAAACATCCATGGTGAGAGAGAATCATGGATCGGCTGCTTCCTGCACACCCCACACTGGGAATCGAGTCCGAAACCTGGGCATGTGCCCTGACTGGGAATGGAACCGTGACCTCCTGGTTCCTGGGTCGACGCTCCGCCACTGAGCCACGCCAGCCGGGCAGGAACAGGCTTTCTTAAGAGAGAATTGTGCACAGTTTGGGGTACACGTTTGGGGTACACAGTCCACATAAGGGCAGACAATCCATGTCTGTTGCCTTGCATTTGCCAGAAGCCCTGAGAG